ATTTCAAGGGTTGGAAAGAAAGAGGGAAATTATTTTAGGCTAATTTATCCTTCTTAGCAAACAGCTAGATCCAGCCAGCACCTGAAAGAATACAATTGTTTTTCTTCGTCATTCTTATCCCAACATCAACTCCGATAGAGCGAAGTAGAAATGAAGCACTGAAAACACATAGACCTTTCCAGCCTCAGCTCTGAAACTTACTGGCGAACCACCTAACTACCCCATTCTGTTTCGTCATCGGTACACTGGGGTGGAAGATGCCACCTCCTGCAGGATGTTGGCAGAATCAAGAGAAGATGAATAGAAACTGCTTGGTTTAGAGCCTGCACACTGGGCCCTCTCCCTTTCTTGTTCTTACTGAAAACTCTGCCTTGTCCACAAGGCCAAAGAAGAATGAGGACAAGCGGTTTGAGGAGGAAGGAAAGGGAGTTTACTTTGCTGGCAAAGGAGGGAAAATGGCAGACCTTCTCTTCTCAAAATCCCAACTTTCCTGAACATCCACAGAAATACAGAGCTTTTAAAGGTTGGGTTCTCAGCTTCAGGCACTTACAGTTGATAATTCTGATCCCCTGAAGACGATCCGTGACCTCCGCCCAGGATCTCCCTTTACCAGGTCGGGCTGGGCCACCTCCTGCCGCACCAATAAACACAGGACTGACCCTGCCCCTCCCAGCCACTGGCTTGAGTCAGGGACTCAGGCTTTAGAGACAGAAAATATTTTTGCCATTTTTTCCTGGCCATTCCCTGTTACATTGTCTCTTCTAAGCCTGAAGCAGCCAAGTAAAAAGGAGATAAACTCGAGCTCTTCTCTGGAGCCTGCAGAGCTGCTCCCTCTCCACAAGGACAATCTCTTCGTGGGCCCAGGCAAGCAGTGGACTCTCTCTCCTCCTCCAGCCCTCACTCGCTGCACACAGCGTGTGGCGAGAGGAGGCTCATGGGGAGAACACGTGGCCTGTGGGTGCTCACGGGCACGTCTGACAGACAGTTATGCTTGTTTGCACCCCACTGGAAATGTTTCATCTGTGCAAAAACAACCCGGAGGACCCGGGCGCTGCCTGGTCTTTCCTGGTAAGGGAATGGCAGGTTATGGTCCTGGTTTGTGAAGTCCTTGCAGTAGAGAGAGCGTGGCCTCTCTATTACTCTGGCACACGTGACTACCTTCCCAAAGAACAAACGTCCACCACTGTTTGGACGAAACCCCATCACCATCTTTATTTCAGTCACACGAGCCTTTGTCTCTGCTTTCCGAGTGTTCTACAACAGGATGTGTCCACTTGCTTTGCCCTTTTTTCTTTGCCTGTCTAGGTCACCTCTGTAGTTCTAAGCAAGTGAATTTGCATCTTAATCCTCCAGTGCGAATGCTCTGCCTGCCAGGCTCAGCTTTTGCACGGCCGGACGGGTTTCTGGCACGGCCTCGGAAGAAGTCCTTGAGATAACGCATTTTCCCCAACTGTTTCCACCCAGGTTTATCAAAAACTCTTGCTTTTGTAGCAAACTTGCTCCAAATTATTTGTTTACAGTCCCTGTATCCTTAGAGAGGGTAAATCTTTACCCCATATGGCTGAGAATGAAGCAATTACCTATCAAATACTATATTCCTACAATTAATTATAGTTATTATTTATAAGATTTCTATCTCCAAAAAATTGAAGCCTTTTATTTTTGAACTAATTCTAAAGAAGTTTAGCAGCTACCTCCAAGAAGGACTATGTATTTAAATTTGTAAACAACGTCTACCGTATCACTGGTTTTTGATCCTCTAAATAGCTCTTTTGTTTCTTGCTAGGTGAGCACACAAGAGGGGGGATTTGTAATTTCACCGCATATTTTATCTTAGCTAAGCGTCCATCACCAGTCATACTTCCACTTTCGTTTAGATTTGAAGTTTGTATTTGGATAGGTTTGGGGAAAAAAAACAAAAAACAAAAAAAGACCCCACCAAACAACAGCAACAAAGAACAACAATGAAAAACCCGCAAAAGACCATAAACGCATAAGCCTTCCACGGCGCTCTATGGGAAAGGCAGCAGACCTGAGTGGAACTCACTGATTTTCTTTAGCATTTTGATTATACGGGTCTATGAGCTCAGATGAATCAAAGCAAAAATGAAACTCAGCAGGCACGATGAAATCAACTGAAACTGCTGAAATGGTTGGGCAGAGCACACAAAAATGGTTTCATTCTCCGAGACCAGGGGACAGAACTGGGGCCTCATTCCAGAGACAGCTTCTGAGGGCTGTCATCACTCCACTCCTCAGATACAGAAAAAGACTTTTTTCCACAATGGATTTGGTTTTCTTAAACTGCAGCTTTGAACAGACTTCAGTAAAGGACATAAAGTAAGTTAATCTCTATAAACAACAGGATAAATGCACCCATGCCACTTGTCAAATTATATGAATTTACTCCTCCGAACATTCATGCTATGTTGGCAACCGATGTGGGTGGCTGGGGCTAGTGGTGGGATAAAGCCCAAATGAACTGTTTTTAAGACATTTTAATTTAATCAGCAATTGACTCAGGGAAGAGAATGTATGCAGTCAGGAAAACAACCCTGACCTTGTGCAGAGAGGCTATTTCTATTCTCTGCGCTATCTTTCCTCCTGGAGCTTCTCAGAGGCTGAAAGGGTGCTCAGAAATTTGCTGTGTAAATGCCATTTTCAGAGAAGTATTTTGTTCATTAGTAAAGCAAAAAAGCTACCATTTGCCTTACCCACCTCGCAGGGGGCTGTGTGTATCCAAGGAGATCATATATGTACAAAAGCTGGGAAATGCTATTGATGTGGATGCTCTGTCATTATTAAAGGGACTGTGGCCTTGAAACTGTTGACAGCAATTCGAGTACAAGGTGTGATACATACTTTCAGTTGCCTGGGAAAAAGAAAGATTCCTCTCTCATGAGTGCAAAAGTATTCTACATAATTGCAATTAAATATCGACTACTTTTGTTTTCATGAAGTATCAGCTAAAATATGATTTTTAAGAGTCTCTCTGAAGCTACCATACTCTAAGTATGCTGAGATCATGCAATGTCAGTGAATAAAATAACAGTTTGTTTTACTAAGGGATTCTAAAAATATTTCTAAGGACAACCTTAGAATGCAAATGAATGTTGACCACTATACTTTTTCATTTTTCTCTTTTAAAAAATAAAGTCTGCCTGAAATATACCTTCTGTGGCTTTTTTCTTGAGTATCAGTTGTGATTATTTTATATCACAAAACCTAACATTAAATTACAAACCATTATTTTGTTTTCCAATATTTTCTCATGCACATTTCTCAAAATGTGAACTTCTTTTTCTTATTTCCCAAAGTACCTAGTAGAGTGCTAGATAAATAACAGCTTCACAATATATTCTTCCTAAAGACTGATTCACTGATTAAAAGAAAACAAGCTAAATTAGTTACAAATTGTTAATATGCTCCAGCATAGACTATCTAATATTGCTGGAATCTTCTCTTTAAAAGTTTGCAGAATATAATTTTTATAAATATATTAAGTTAATCAATTACTTAATTGGAAGCCTTTCTCTAATTCAAAGCTAACTTCAGAATTAGAATTGATAATCTAGAAATATTTACCTTTATATGTTAATGTGTAATTACTACATAACAAAACAGATTTTCATTTGACAACATGAGAGCTTAATTTTAGAGTAACACAATAGTCCATCTCTCAGAATACTTGTTTTAAAATGAATATTTATTATTTTACTTCAATATCCTTCTCTTAAGCAGTTGAAATTAAATTTCTTCCTGCACAGTTCTATGAAGACTGACTAGACAAATGAAGTATTAATGTTCAATAAATGCATGATAAAGATCTTTTTGACCAGTCTCAATTTTGCAGGTAGCATTTTCAATGTAAGAGGAGAAGAATCAGGACAGGCTGCATTTCTCTTTTGTATTAGAAATGACTCACTGCTTAATTGCTGACAGCCTCGATTTACTAAGTAGTAAATTGGTAAGCATGCATCATTGTGTTCCTTAGGACACCTCTTTGAGTGAATGCAGTAATTTATTATCCATTAGTTCTAATTCTCCATAATGCTTTTCTAGGAGGAATCCAAATCAAGGCACTAAAATCTTTACAGTCTCCCCAGGAGCAGTTGGCATGCAGGTGGTATTCTCATTACCATGGCCGAGAAAGTGGAGGGGTGTGCCTGAGGTCTCCTGGCAAGTCAGTTAGTGGGGAGCAGAATCTAGGTCTCTTGATGCCTAGCGCACAATCACAAAAGCACAGAACTCTTAGGAGAGTCACCTAAATCATGTGCACAGAAAAGAAGAGGGGAAAATGACACCCAGGATGCTCATTGCAGAATCCCCCTAGCAACCTTGTCGCCATTTCCCTCCGACTGCACATAAAGCACACTGAAAGGTATCAAACAGCATAAAATCCTAATGGTGCCCTTAATTAGGTGGGACCGTCACTCTAACTCCCTAACCTCCCACTGTCCAAGCGTGCAGCCCCAAATTCCTCTCTGGGGTGCCTGATCCTGAAAGCAAGACATAGTTACAGAAACAACCTTTGGCTTGCAAGGGACCATCAAGCTCTGATGATGATGAAGTTTGATAGCAATAATGTCAAACTTTATATAGCCATAATCCAAGTTTACAATGATACATTAAGCCATAATGCTACTATTTATATCACCATAAACTGAGTTTATGGTGATATAAATAGTCATGTTAATGGCATTAACAGCAGCACTCAGTGGAACCACAGCTGTTGAGTGCTGCATTTATGCTATTAGCACTGCTATTTATATCACCATAAACTTAGGTAGTCAAACTTGTTACATATGAATATACGAGGAAGATGGATGTCCACATTTTATGCCCAAATCTAGGCTCCTATACTGGAGACATTATGGCTCTAGCCCTCCTCTACATTAGCTTTGCTTGGGTTGCGTGATGTTTCTGTGGGCGCCACGAAAGAGCAACTCTGTTTTTTGGCAAAACACCGCTCAAATGGTGATAAGAAAGTGCAAACTTACTGTCTCCTTGGCAGCGCAGGGGACCCACGCTCAGTTTGGCCTCCGAGCCTTGCCGGTCAGTGTCTCCAACCACCACTTGGCTCACCGGCAGGTGATCTTTGTAGGACAGGAAGCCAGCGTCCTTCCTCCTGGGTCACAGGGAAAGACAGAAAAGGACCAGGAGGCTGAGTTAGAAACACTTCTTTCCTGCTAATTGTTTAAGTTGTCTAATGATTGACATTTCAGTAATTGTTTGGAAGTCCACTAAGTAAACCCGGAGTTAAAGAGTTGTTCTCTCTTCCACTGCAGGGTTTCAGAGCACATCGCTTAGAAGCAACTCTGGCATCTTTGTTTTCTGGGAAATCAGAAATGACACCCCGATTTCCAGAGACCCACAACCAATAAGCTGAATACTATTTAGGTTGAGAGGCGGCCACGGAACATGCCAAAGCCTGAGGACATGTGCAGTTTGCTGTTGTCATGAAATCAAAAGTTCCACAGAGTCAACCTGATGGCTCGAAGAATATGCAAAACAAAACCCTATTAAAAAAAAACAAAAACACCTTGTCTATTTAATTGCTTTGAAGCAGTTCCTTCAGAGGCTTTCTTCCCTGCTGTGTGTCAGCCCAATAAAAGACACTTTTTGTTTCTTCATCTTTTTTTGTTTATTTTAACAACTGAAATCGTTCATGTGAAGTTTCTAGCACAGAGCAGGTGTTCACGAAGCGTCTGTTTCCATCTGTAATGAAGAGGAGGGCTGAGATTCAAGCCTAGTGTGCTTTTCTTCCTGGGCTTGTTTCCCTGTGTACTCTATATTCACCTCATTTCAGGTCTCCCAAGCCTACCCCATACCCACCCTATGTGAAGAAAGAGGACAAGGCTGGTTGCAAAGTGCTGATTCTAGGATGGAACATAGAAACCCAGGAGATGTTCCTGGGGATGCAGCCAAGGTGAGTTACGTGCACTGGTATGTTTTTGGTCCTGGGCAGCTGATTTCACCTTAGCAGGAAATCACTGCCCCCTCATCCTCTTTTCCTGCTGCTGTGGCTGAGAGATTCCCTCACTGGGGGCTGAATGAGTGGGAGACACAAATCAGTGTGAAGTCAGTCCTCAAATTTACCCTTTTTGGTGATTTTTTTACACTGTTAAATTTGAACATAAATAATACTTTTAAAATTGCACCTAGAACTGATTATAGAAAAGGGAACTGATATTGGATGACAGGAGAATGAGAAGGACAGTTTAATAATCAAGTTAAAAGTGTACTACTTGCAATCCCTTGGAAAATAGCACAGGGAATTGAGGGGAGCTGACTTGGAAGCTTGTCTTGAAACTGCTGTGCTGTTTGGAGCAGTTGCTTATCTCTTGGACCTTCTAGAACATCAGTGAACATATGTGTCCTTGTGTGTCAGGACCCACAGAAACTCAGGGATGAGCCACAGAACTTGGCCAGTGGGCCTCAAACAAATGTATTTTATATTGCCTTGGTTCTTGCATTGTTCTCCAGTTTCCAAAATAAAGGTTTTTTTAAAAAAACTGTTTATCAAATTAGAGCTAAGATGATGCAGAAAAGCACTGTGATTCTTACTGACACTGTAGCTATTAATGACCATGCCTCAAATATCTCAGTGGAATGTTTTGTAAACCCACCCTCTTCTATTAGAAGTTCTATGAATTAAAATCATGTCAAAAAGGAAACAAAGTCTTTGATATTAAATTTGATATTTAGTGCCTCTTAAAGGAACACCCTTTTAACGACATGTGATGACTTGACAACCTACGAGAAATGTGTTGTGTATGCCTATGGAACCAGGGGCTGAGATTCTCTACAAGCTGATAGTAACTTAGAGCTACATGACTCTAAATCAGGGCTCTGAAAATGAAGTCCTAAGAACCAAATTCGCCTTGTCACTTGTTTTCATATGACCTACAAGCTAAGAATGATTTTTACGTTTTAAATGGTTGAAAAACATCAAAAGAACAAATAATATTTTATGATGTGAAAATGATATAAAATTCAAAGTCAATGTCTGTAATAAAATTGTATTGAAATACAGCCACTCTTTTTTGTTTTTTTAAAATGTATGCACACTACAATGACAGAGTTGAATAGCTATGGCAGAGACCACACGGCCCTCAAAGCCAAAAATAATATTTGGCCCATTATAGAAAAAGTTTGCCAACTCCTGCTCTAACTCATAATGGACTCATAACTATACATTTTTCCTTTAGGAATTTACTGAGCAAATATCCCACTGACGATCATGGTGGGCAACTGTTGCCTAACTCAAGTCTTTAAAGTTGAGTTTGGGGTTAGGGAAGGGCTATAGGAAGGGGATAAGAATAAATGAAGAGAAACTATTTAAATGGGAAGATACCATTTAAATTTCAACTTATTTAATCTAACAAGGATAAATAGCTTAAATTTAATTAATAATTAACTTTTTAATTTACTTTGCTCTATACAGCAGATAATCATGCATCAGCTTTGGTACAACCGATATCTATCCTATAGGACGAGTAGCTGCTCTAGAACTCATGAGTACTCTCATTGTTTAACTATTCCAGCATCTATAAGGTAATATGGGTAATTTTATAAAAACAAAATATTTAAATGGTAGAATCTGTATGACATTCTGTAACAAATGAATAATGATCATGAAAATCTGAAAGGTACAGTTCAATGAATTTATATGTACACACACTCACACCTGTGCAACTATGACCTGGATAATGATTTAGAACACCTCCCTCATCCCAGAAGCACCCCTCATTCCCACTCCAAGCCAGTACATCCCCTCAAAAGTACTCTTTTGGGCCTAGCTCCTTTTACTCAACTTTATGAGATTCATCCACATTGTTTGTCCAAAAATATCTTGAATAAAAGATTGTGTTATATTAATAAAATGTAATACTATACAACAATGAGAATGAGTATTCTCCTGTTGTCATTTGGGTGTTTCCAGTGTTTGTCATTGTTAGTAAAACTGCTATGAACATTCTTATAAATGTGTTGCTTATTAGCATTCATTTATGCTGGGCATTTACCCAAAAGTAGAAATGCTGGGTAATGAAGTACACATATGTTTAACTTTAACGGATAATTTCAAGCAGTTTTCTCAAGAGCTTGTACCAATTTACATTTTTCCCAGCAGTGCATGAGAATTCAGGTTGCTCAAGATTTGCCAGTACTTGGTATTGTTGGTCCATTTATGATGAGTGACAAAGTAACTACCTTATCATGAAACTTATACTAAGGTAAGAACATTTTCAAAACAAATGTTCGGAGATATTCCAATTATTGTACAATTTTATTGCCAAAATTTATATGTGTATGACCTTATAGGAATTCACACATCTATAGATTGTCACAATTTGGAAATATAATTTTAAAATAATCTTATAAATGTAGAGTTTCAGTGGATTTTGGAATTTTTTAAAATAATAAAATCAGCCATTGTTCAATGATTTTGTAAGAAAAACCAATTAATATCAGGGATGATAGAAATTTACAAGCCATGTTTTATCAGAACCTGTGCATTATTGGTCAGTGAAACTGAAAAAATTAATTTCAGTTTTCATTAAGTGAGCTTAATAACGTACATTATCCCCATTTTACTGAGAATTTATCTTGACCAAGTTCGCCAGTGGTAGAGTCTGGATTCGAACTCATACTATCTGGATCTCGTCCTTGGACTTTTCACTAAAAAACAGGGAAAAACAAAAGAGAATAAAAACAAAAAAAAACACTATGTCAAATAAAAGCCCCTTTCTTTTAATTCTCATTTATAGATGAGGTGGAAAGTGCCTTTTTAGATATACTCAGCTAGCCTGAAATGTTGAGATTATTTGTAAGTCGTAAATTCAAAGATATCCACAATGTTTTGCTCATGGTCACCTCCTGATCCACCTACGTACTACACTGAACAAAAGAGTGTTAGAACTACCTCACGCTCAGATCAACCACTGTTTTTAATGATACCTTGACGTTTATAATAGTTTGCAGTACAGCCAGTAGGAATAACACTCAGATATTCTTTACCAAACCAAGAAAGGAGGAAAAAAATGCCAGCTGCCAAAATAAGAAAAAATTACCTTTTCACTCATATTTGATCAAAGATCTCAATAGGACTCGAAAGACTTTAAAGCCACAAACAACCATGTGTGAAACTCACAAAGCAGGGGCCTCTACATTGATTGTGGAAACTAATTCATGGCCGGCAATAAAGTGGTTTGACTAGCACACGGTTTCTGTGATCCTGCAGCACAACCCACTTTAAAAATGATTTGAGGTCTGGAGAGGGGCCCTCCAAAATACCTATATCATGTCCGTCTTGGTATCTTGCGTGAGTTTTTTAGCAAGCAAAACAAACTTTTGTTGAAAGTTGTGATCCTTACAGACTGAGGTCAATCTAATTTAGGGATGTATTCAGTAACTATTTATCATGTTGGCATAATAAGCTAATTACACCTGTTCATGGGCTTGTACATTAGAAAAATTCCATCACCCATTTCAAATAGGCTCTGAACTCACACTCCTGTACCATCTTTCGATCAGTGCTGTTACTCACATAAACCTTGATTCTATGGGTTTTGCTTTTCTAATCTGGCATTCCTGTTAGTTCTCTCACCAGTGTTTTCCTGAGGAATTCTGCCTTGTTCTGTTGTTCTTTTCTTGCCTGCTTTCTTTATCCTGCTGAGAAAGCAAACAAGCCTCCAGGCAGTTCAGTCTTGCCCTTAGCTCAGTGAAAAAGAAAAAACAAACCTAACAAAAAATAAACATCCCAAGTTTTTACAGTGTGAACTGCTTTTCTGCCAGATGTTATGAAAATTATTATACTATGAATTTTACTATATGGTAATCCTAGCAGAGAAGGAGGACCTCTCCTTTGTGAAGTTTTAGGAGTACTCGGTAACCCTTAAATTATAGTCCATTCACTTTCATATATTTCTGTCACAGTGTCGCCTAAACTAGAAATTTCTGGACAGAATCCAGAAAGTCAGTTATAGCTACAAAATATATCTGACAAAGAGACATAGAAATGTAAAATAAACACATGGGAAGATGCTTAATATTATCAATCATTAGGGACATGCAATTAAAACTACACTGAGATGTTACTTCACACCTATCAGACTAACTATAATC